AAATTAAGACTCCCCGAAGAATAATTTGGTGGCAACGATCACCTGTTTGTATGTTATTTTAAGTAGTAGGAGGGTTGATTTTGCAATCAACACCTCGTTGTTTCCATGCAAGTTTTAGCGAACTTGCATTTTATTAGTGGCGTGATCGGTTTAACCACCTGAGTTACTTTTGTAATTTATATATATTTTCTATTATTCCAGACTAATGTGGCAACTTCTATACATTGTAAGTCCCACAATTAGCGAAATCGATTTACAATTTAGTTCGTGTTATTTCGCACTATGAAGTTCAATAATCTCAAATCACTTGCGAAATAACCATTGATTTCAAAATTAAAATAAATAAAAAATAAAATTATAAATAGTTATTAAATTAATTTGAAATAGTAATTGAGTATTTAGCATTAGAAAATTTATAGGTGTGTGTATTGTGTATGTTATTGGTGTATAATTTGACAACATATTTGTAATATACATATATTAACAAATATTATTTTTAATAAATAATATTTAATAAAAAAAATTAAAAATTTACGGAATTCCGCTCTTATTAACACCTAGTACCTATACACTTTATCAAGTATGCGCAAAAATCACAATTCGAAAACGGCCTAGCAATGTTTGTCGAGTGCAGATGTGAAAAAAATTGCGTAACAAAGAAAAAAAAGAAAACCCTAGCAACATATTTACAACCTTTAAAACATTTCAGGTCATCTCAAATTTATTGGGGAGTGAAAGGATTAATAAGTAAAAATTTGTCTAAAAAATAATGTTATCTAATAAAAATCTTCAAAATAAGGCTGCTTCTACAATAGTTACATTGCATTGCCTTGTAGACGATTTTTTAGAACGCGACGATTCACGCACATCCATTGCTAACTGTCAACAAAAAATTTATTTATATTCTTCCAGGCAAAATATTTTTTTTAATTTTTAGTATATGTGGAATAAATTTTTTGTCGACAGTTGGCAATGGATGCGCGTGCATCGTCGCGTCCAAAAAAATCGTCTTCAAGACGATGCGATTTAGCTATTGTGGAAGAAGTCTGAAAGTTCTAATGAGCGATTTTTTAGGGGTTAATCTTAAAAAATATAAATCAATTTCTTTTTTCTTTGTTTTAAAAATATTTATTTACGTATATATATATATATATATATAACGATAGAGTATAAAAATAATAATATAAATACATAATCATTACTGAAGTTATGGACGTAAAGAACTTGAAAACAAAAGTCGTATTATAAAAAACTTTTGAAAATTAATTAAAAATCTGATAATCTGCAAATATTCAGGTTTAAAATATTTTAAAATTATATTTTTGACCTCTACATTATCTTTGAGACGAATTTGAATGGACTGATTGCATACTTTAATGCAGGTCATTTTTTTTATTAAATTTAGTGTAAATTTAATGTTTTTAAACACATTAAGTGAAAATTAATATCATTAAAATATTTTTAATCAAATTCTTCATCAACCACATCATTATAAGCATCACTGTTGAATTCTTCGTCGTCATCATCTATATATTCATTTAAAGTTGACAGATTCTCTTGTTTAATTTCTACGACTATATTCTCTTTTTTTTTATTCACATCAGCTCTCTGATTTAACTCTTTTTTGATTTTATTTCTAAAACGTTGTTTAGTGCTTTTAAGTACCTCCAACATTGTTTGTTTATAAATCTCTTTATTTGTGGGACCATCGAATAAAGGACATTTAATAGCAGCTCCTGGAAAAAATTTATGCCTTTTTTTATGTTCAATTTTTAAGTTAACACAATTTTTATATCCAAGAATATTTTCAACCTTTCGAAATTAATGCTGTTAAAGGTTTTTTTTGACAATATTGAGTATTTAAAACTGTGATATACTATGTGAAATTGAAAAACAATTAATTCATTAATAATTTTTTTAAATAAAACTGGACTAAAAATTTATACTTCTGTCGCAATTTTTATTATTTTTCATTGCAGATTTTTGATATGATTTTTTCATGATTTTGAATAATCTATGGTATGGATTTTGAAAAAATTCAATTATTTCAAAAATATGTTCAAAATTACTTTCTTTCATTTTTCATAGTGAAATATGATTTCTGGTTCTAAAAAATTTTTTTTATAAAATTGTTACCCCTAAACAAAACCTATTACGTTTGGTTTAAATTTTATCAATTATTTCTTAAAAATTCAAGTGCTTCCACAATTTTTATTATTTTTTATCGGTAATTTTTTTGTAGGCTTTTTTCATGATTCTGAACAATCAATCGTATGGATATTTAAAAATTTTAATATTTTCAAAAAATAAAATTTCTAAAATGGTTAAAAAAATTTTTTTTTTAATTTTGATAATTCACAATAATTTTAGATCTTAAATAATGACAGAAACATTCAATGAGTTGAAATTTCACAGGACCCTCCCCTTAACAAAATTTATGTCTAGAAAAATTTTCATAAAAAGGAATTTTTATTTCTCAGAATTGTTCTTTTATTGAATTTATATTTATTAAAATATTCACTTGACAATATTTTCATTAACTGAATTTAAATTTAACTTAATTTCTCTTTAACAAAATTCTTATTTAAAAAAAATTTATTTAAGAAAATTTTTATTTAAACTAATTTTTATTTAATAGAATTGTCATATAACAGAAATTCAACTAAGATAAATTTCTAACAATAAGTGAGATACTTACGATAAAATATGTTGGACACTTTAGTGTCACCGAATTTCTCTGTATCTTTTGTCTTAAGCCAAGTAAATTTTGCAACTAATTGGTCATCCATTATTTCCTTAAGTCCACCGCTGAGAAATTCTTTTAATCTAGACCCTCCCAATCGTACTAAATGATCATGCTGAAAAATTTTATGTAATAGTAAATTTCAAAAACAACACAAGAACATTTTTGAACATTTCTTGTAATTCATGCCGCGATCCTCGGAAATTGCTTAGAAAAAATCAGTGTAATTGCAAAAATGTCATTATTGACGAAATACTAATTTCAAAATTTAACTGAATATTGCAAATTTAGCTGAACTTCAAAAAGTCCGAAATTTTGAATTTGTAAAATCTGGCTTCAGATTTATAATCAACAACCCGCAAAATCCACCAAAAATTTTAAGTAAATCCAATCGATTTAAAAAAAAATCAGCGGCCACATTGGATCAGAGATTTTGAATTTGGAAATCTTAGGAATAATTTAGTAATGGATTCTAATTCAGCGTGAAAAAATACACGTTAAGAAACGTACAAATTCTGTAGTATGAAAAATCGGTTAAATGGAAATTTTATCAAATAATAATTTGAACAAATGAAAATTCAAGAAAAATTCTATGCAATGACATTCTGCCTAATAAAAATTAATTAAAATAGCCATTACGTATAGAATGAAAATTTGAGCAAATAAAAATTATGTCAAGTAAATTTTTAGATATATATAAAAATTCTCTAATGTAGAAAATCGGTTTAACAAAAATTCTGCAAAATAATGATTTGAACATAAAAAAAAATACGTCTCAATGTAAATTCTATCTAATGAAATTCTATTAAATGAAAATTCTAACAATTGATTTTTAGAACTTATGAGTCTCAAAATAATATTTTTCACTCGAAATATAATAATTAATTTTTTTTCCTAAAAATGGTTGATCGAAGAACGTTGAAATAATATTTTCACATAACAAATTATAATTAGAAGAAATATTTTTTTCTTGTAAATCACTGATCATAAACGTTGTGAATTTCACTGACGTAAAAAATTTGGAACGCATGATTATGTTCTAAAAATCATTAGTTATAATTTTTATTTGTTCGAATTAGTATTTTTCAGAATTTTCATCAAAACGATTTTCTATATTACAGAATTTTTATGTAACCGAAAATTCATTTCACAGAATTTTTATTTGTTCGTATTTTTATTTATCAGAATTTTAATTTGCTCGAATTTTCATTTAACATAATAGGCATTTTAAAGAATCTTTGTTGGCTAGAATTTCATTGCATAGAATTGACATTTCATTCTTTCAGATGAATTTTCAATTGTTCGAATTATTATTTGTTATAATTTCCATATAACCGACTTTTAATACTACAGAATTTTTACTTAACCAAAAAATCATTTAACAGAATTTCTAATTGATAGAATTTTTATTTGTTCGAAATTGTAAATATCCGAAAAAACCATCGACAGAAAGATTTCGGCGCGATTTTTAAAATCAATCACAATTTTATGGATAGTTTTTTGATTGGTTGATTTTAAAAATCGCGCCGAAATCTTTCTGTCGATTGTTTTTTCGGATATTTACAATTTCGGACAAATAAAAATTCTATCAATTAGAAATTCTGTTAAATGATTTTTTGGTTAAGTAAAAATTCTGTAGTATGAAAAATCGGTTATATGGAAATTATAACAAATAATAATGCGAACAAATGAAAATTTATCTGAAAGAATAAAATGAAAATTCTATTAAATGAAATTCTACCCAATAAAAATTGTTTAAAATGCCTATTATGTTAAATGAAAATTCAAGCAAATTAAAATTCTGACAAGAAGAAATTCGAACAAATAAAAATTCTGTGAAATGAATTTTTGGTTACATAAAAATTCTGTAATATAGAAAATCGTTTTAATGAAAATTCTAACTAATGATTTTTAAAATATAATCATGCGTCCTAAAATTTTTTTACAATTTTAAGCATTAAGGGTTTTAAAAAAGAAACAGCGGTAAAAAGAAAAAATTATTTTTTTAGGCACCTTTAACAATATTCCAACATTCATACTTTTAATTGCAGAATATTTTTGATGCTATTTGGATTATTATTGAAAGTTATATTTTAATATTTTTGATACAAGAAATATTAATTCTGAATTTTGTCAATATTTCCCAAATTATGTATTTCCTCAATTTTTTTTTTTTTTTTAATAAATGTTAAATGCATGTTAGAAACAATAGAATTTAGAGTTTTTTTTAGAACGTATTATTTATTTATTTATTTAATAAATTTATTATACTTATTTGAAAACTTACCACTTTTTGCCGATTCTCTTTATTCTTATCGGTTTCCAAACTTTCAAACTCTTCCATTGTCTTCAAAGGAAAACCTGTCAGCGGTTGATACAAAGTTTCCTCTACGAACTTTTCAGAATCGCCACGCATATCATTTAAAATTTCAAGAATTCTTTTATTCTGTTTCTCTATATTGCTATTAAAAAAAATTATATATGGATTGAAAATAAATATAAAATTTTATAAAAGTATTTTCAAATTTTGAAAAAGTATTTTCAAGTCGTGGAAAATATGGTAAAAAGTAAAAAATTTCCATTTAAGAAATATTAATCTCCATTCAACTTTTATAAAATTTACAATAGTTTTATTAAAATTTGGTGTATCGTATTTGATTTATTACTAAATGTTACTAAATTTTATTGAATCCTATATTAAGTCTATAAAAATTTTTTTAAAGTTCAGAAATTTCTTATATGAAAATTATGCTTTTTAGCATATTTTCCACGACTTGAAAATACTTTTATAAAATTTGATATTTATTTTAATTTGATGAATAATTCAAAAATTCTTAATAAAATTGTATTAAATATTTTTTAAAAAAATACATTTTACTTACTCTAATCTCTGTAATATTTCGTTTTTGAATTTTAAATCATTGTCTTTATTAACTTCATGTTTCTGTTCACTGTAAAATATATCGTGCCTGTTACTCATTGCATTTAACGGATCTTGATTCGTATAATGATATAATTCTTGAGATGTTGTTAAAGATGTTGCTAGTACATTAGGATCCAACGTCTCATTCACTGTCACATCCGGTACCAATATTCTGAAATGCATTTTTTTATTCTAAAAATCGATTCGAAATTATTTTATAGTTTGCTTGTTAGACCTTTTACTATATCAAATAAAAATTCGGGGCGCATGAATTTTTCAATAAAAATTAATCGTTATTCGTTTATTAAATTCGTTAGAATTGAATAATAATATTTATTTTAAAAAAATTTATTAGATACATATAATTATTTTTTAGACTAATTTTCATTTTTAAAATTAACATTTGACAAAATATTTTTTAACAAATTGTTACTTTATAGAATTTTCAGGTTCCAAATTTTTATTTGGCAGAATGTTTATTTTACAGCGAATTTCTTTTTACACAACTTTTTAAAAGTATTTTAATTTAACCTAATTTTATTTTAGCATAATTTTCAATCAACAAAATTTCAAGTGATTCGAATTATTATTAAAATATATTATTATTCTTAAAATGATGAAAAACAGTACTAGTGGATAGGAAAGTATCCAAAGAATCTATTGCCGTTAAAATTTTTAAGTTATTATTGACAAACCATTTTTTTTTTTAATAAATTTTAAAAGAAAAAATAAAAATAAGTTATAATTTATTTAGATTATTAAAATTATGAGAATTTAAAAAAAATACTTTTTTCATGTTTGCTTTTTTGTTGGCTTTTGATTATTATTATTTATTATTATCATTTAGCAATTTGATTTTTAATGCTTTGTAATAAATTTTCTTGAACAAAAATTAATAATTTTACGAAAATAAGAAAAAAAAATTAAAATTTAAAAAATATTTCTGTTATGTAGCATGAAATTTATAAACATTATATAAAAAGATAATTTTGCTTTTATGATAAAATATGTAATTTTCAAAAGAACTTTTAAATAAATATACTAAATCTTTTATTTAAATTAAATTTTATTTCTAGATCGAGAGGGTATCAAAAACACATTTTAAAAAATTGTTTTGTTTGCTCTATTTTTCATTTTAGGTGGGGCATTCTATGGGAAATTTTCATTGAAAATTTTTTTTTTGTCCGAAACATTTTTTTTCAAAATCTATATGAAAAATAAAAAAATACGTAATTTTTTATTTTTTTATTTGATGAAAATGAAGGAAGTTATGATTTTTTGAAATTTAACGTCAACGAAGAAAGTGTGTTTTTGGAACATTTTTTAATCTATTGTACTAATAAATTAAAAATTATGCTATATATGAAATTTGTTCATTTTTTCTCAAATTTGTCAAATATGTGCTCAAAAATAACGTACCTATAACAGAAGCAACAAAAAAGTTGAAATTAAACTTATAAAGTGAGTTTTCTCAAAAGAGACACTTTCGATTTTTAATTTTTTTGTTGCATTACAATCTCTGATGATTAAAGATTTTTTTCCCCTATCTGCGAAAGTGGTATTTTTAGTTTTAAAATTACTATTTATAATTTTTTTTAGTACGGCTCACAGAATTTAAGCATTTTTTCTACAAATATAACCTTTTTCCATTAACATTCATTTGTTTTTTTTAATTTGCATAAAAACATACTAAAAATCGTTGCGTCAAGCTTAAAAATTTGTAAATAGTAATTTTAAAACTAAAAGTACCACTTTCGCAGATAGGGAAAAAAATTATTCAGTCATCAGAGATTGTAATGCAACAAAAAAATTAAAAATCGAAAGTTTTTGAGAAATCTCACTTTATAAGTTTAATTTCAACTTTTTTGTTGCTTCTGTTATAGGTACGTTATTTTTGAGCACATATTTGACAAATTTGAGAAAAAATGAACAAATTTCATATATAGCATAATTTTTAATTTATTAGTACAATAGATTAAAAAATGTTCCAAAAACACACTTTCTTCGTTGACGTTAAATTTCAAAAAATCATAACTTCCTTCATTTTCATCAAATCAAAAAATAAAAAAATACGTATTTCCTTATTTTTCATATAGATTTCGAAAAAAAATGTTTCGGACAAAAAAAAAATTTTCAATGAAAATTTCCCATAGAATGCCCCAGGTACATTACACAGGCACACAAAAAAAAAAAGTTGTCTGTTTCTTGAACTAGACATATATTTCCTATAGTAATTTGGCCCGCTGAAACCGAATCTGTGCTCAGAATTGCTCCATCACCCTCAGTTTATTTTTAAATCGACAAAACCACCCTTAAATGGACAAATTCACACTTCGGAGATAAAAAATACATCAACTTATTTTTTTAAAAAATCGAATTTTACATCTAAGAAACTTTGCTCCACTAACTCTAAAACAAAGCCAGCATTGATCGAGCACCCCCTGAATTTTTTCAATTGAAAAAACTACCCCTAATCTGCAGAATCAAATTAAGGAGATAAAACAATAAAATAACTGATTGACAAATTTTATAACCAGATATTTTTACTCCAGCAATGCAGAAACAAAGCCAGAAATGCTCCCTTACCCACTAAATTTTTTTTTTAATCGAAAAACCACCCTTAAATAGAAAAATTCAAATTTAGGAAGTAAAAAAATATTAAATTACCGGCTTTTTTTAAAACAGAACCTTACATGTATGTAGTTTTGCTCTACTAACTTAAAAAAATAAAGCCAGCATTGATCCACCACCCTCTGAATTTTTTTAAATCGAAAAAACTACCCCTAATCTGAAGAATCAAATTCAGGATGTAAAACAATAAAATAACTGATTGACAAATTTTATAACCAGATATTTTTACTCTAGCAATGCGGAAACAAAGCCAGAAATGCTCCCGCACCCTCTAAAATTTTTTTAAATCGTAAAAACCACCAAAGAATCAAACTTAGAAGGTAATTTAATATAATTATATTGTGTTATCTCCTAAGTTTGATTCTTCAGGTTAAGGGTAGTTTTTTTGATTAAAAAAAATCACAGAGTGATGGATCAATGCTGGCTTTATTTTTTTGAGTTAGAAGAGCAAAACTACATACATGTAAGATTTTAATTAAAAAAATTCAGGGGGTGCTGGATCAATGCTGGCTTTGTTTTTGAGTTAGTGGAGCAAAGTTTCTTAGATGTAAAATTCGATTTTTTAAAAAAATAAGTTGATGTATTTTTTATCTCCGAAGTGTGAATTTGTCCATTTAAGGGTGGTTTTGTCGATTTAAAAATAAACTGAGGGTGATGGAGCAATTCTGAGCACAGATTCGGTTTCAGCGGGCCAAATTACTATAGGAAATATATGTCTAGTTCAAGAAACAGACAACTTTTTTTTTGTGTGCCTGTGTTATTTAATTTTTTAATTTAAATTTTTAAAGAAATAAAACAAGTTAAAACGTAAGAATCGAAACGAATTAGTGTAGATATATTTAAGAAAAAATAAATTGCTTGAAAATAATTTCAAAAAAAATATTGCAAATTTTTAAAAATATTTTTAGATATAGACATACATTTTATAAATGTGAAAAATTTTAAAGCAGTAAAAATAAGACACGTGTAGAAAACTAAGTTCTTGAAACAAAATACCGATTTGTCGACAACAGTTAAAATAAATATCATTTAACAACTTACAATATTAAAAAAATGTATAAAATTTTGCTTGATAAAGTCAAACATTAAAATATTTAATCATCCATCTAGCTTTCATTGCTTCACTTCTGCATTGAAGACAATTTCAAATAGTTCTTTTACATTACAAGTTGTCATTCACGGTGAGTAAAATTCTAAATAATAATTGGCATATTTTCACTTTTATTTTGTGTTAAAATTTTTTAAATGTTCCTATAATTTTTTAACGCTAATTATTTCATCAATAGATTTATTTTTTTGTTATTATAAGTGCCATTGCATGAAAGGGTATTTTCTTTTGTTAGCTTGTTTGCAAATAAAAATAATAAAAGAATGAAGTACAGGATTTTTTAAACTTTTTTACCTTCTCTTCCAAATTGGTAATTTTGGAGAATTTAAAATTTTATCTACGTAAAATTTTAACGATCTTCTTCATCATTATTCTCGTACTAAATTTAAATATAGAAAATTGTACCAGTTATGCTAACTTCACTATATGACTGCCTTAGCGGATTGGAAACTATATAACTGTTCGACGAACTCGATGCGCGTTCATCTTGGCCAGGAGTGTCTTGCTTACTGCAAGCTTCAAATGAAAGATTGCAGTGTAAGGTTACTGCAAGATTGTACAATAAGATTATCGCAAAATTGCTCAGTAATCATGCACAGTAAGCTTGTAGCAAGGTTGGTGCTTGGTTGACAAATGACCTTGCTTTGAACGTCAAAAAAATTTTTTTTAATGTTTCGAAATTAAACGAAACATTTTTTAAAACCTTTTTTTAGGTTTAAAGCAAAGAGGGTCATCCATAAACCATGTGATACTTTAGGGGGTAGGGGGGATCAGCAAAATATCACGCTACATGTTAATCGTTAATAGAAAAAGCATCACAAAGGGAAGGGGGGGGGTGTTAAAATTTCGAAAAAATGTATCACATGCTTTATGGAAGACCCCAAAGTTATTTGGCAATCTTGCACCAACCTTGCTGCAAGCTTATCGTGCAAGTTTACTGAGCAATCTTGTGATAATCTTATTGTGCAATCTTGCAGTAACCTTACACTGCAATCTTTCGGTACGCTTACCATGAAAGATTGAGTCAGGTGGGACATTTGAAGCTTGCGGCAAGTTTGCTGTGCAAGGTTTGGCAATATTGAGCGGCAAGCTTGCCGTAAGGTTGCTGCAAGCTTATGTGCTATCTGGTAGTACTACTATCTGGGCACATGGGAAAGTGCTGGGACACGATTTCTGCCGTATTTTGGAGAAACACAGTAACCACATACGGTTATCGTATGCAGTTATTATGTTTCTCGAAAACACGACAGATTTGGTGTATGATTTCATGCGGGAATTTATGATTTTGTTTGTACATGAAAAACCTATGTGGATTCCTACATTATTTCCTATAATTTTTCTGGCATATTATTTTAGTTTTTTTATTTAGTATTTCTTTAGTTTTTTAGATTTAGTTAAACTAAATAAAATTGTATTTTGTACAGTAGCCCCAAGGAAACTCTTGTACTTCCGTAGATGGTCACTTATAAACATCGTTCACTTTAAATAATAATAATTTAATAATTGTAACCTAATTTAACAAACGAAAAAGCAAAAATCAGTTATTTAAGAGTGTCGAACGGTCTCTGAAATTCTTTGGCATTTAATTATCGCCTTATAAAACGGCACTTTTTACAAAATCGGTCGAAACACAAAGGATCCTTATCTTATAAATTTCCTAAATCCGAAAGATTGTGCAAATCTATACAAAAACTTAATTGTAAAACGAAAAGTAGAAAAGTAATATAATGATAGCTTTATTACATCATTCAGCCGTTACCCAATAAGCATGGAAACTTGCAGCAAACTTGCAAGAAGCTTGCCGTGCAAGATTGTAGTTAAAACATGTAACAAGTTTCGTAGAAGCAACAAAATGTCCTCTTACGGCAAGCTTGCTGCAAGTTTGCCGAGACAATTTTTATACCAATAAATAAATAAAATAAAAATACAATTATTTCAGATTCATTAAGAAAACGTAGAAAACTGCAAGGAAGATTAGAGATATAGCCGCGGAAATAAGAATATTAAAAAGTGAAAACAACATTAAGCGACTCGGCTCATGATGATCGACGCATCAGTTTTCGTTCATAATTCACTAAATTTCCAATTTTTATCTGTTTGTCACTACATTTCCTCTCTTGGAATTATATTTCACAACAAAGGCCTAATTAAATATAAACAACGACATCAAACTATCCCTGTGCTGAACACTTTCTTTAAATATCTTGACGATTCCAACAATGAAGCTCAGACAAAACTTGAGCTTCTACAAACTATATTGAGGGGAAGTGATCTTTATAGTGGTGGCGAAAATGAAAAACTTGATGCGACATACGTTGATGAAACGTATGAGTACATCATTAAAATAACTCTTTTTTCGCACTACGACAACATAAACATATATTTATCAAGACTATTAAGCAAGACATCTTCTATAACTTATTCCAATTTTATAGAATTTGTAAGAACTGAGTTCTATAAAAAATACGTCAGTAAGGATTACTGTTTAGGAACAATCCAAAGTCCAGAACTTAATTTACTGTCAAGAAAAAAAACTTTTTCTGACTATATTCTACCAATGTTTCCTAAGCCAGACAATACAAATATGAATATTATAGACGAGGATTATATATACGCAATGGCTGGTTTAAAATTGGTTAGATCTGTACTTAAAGAAACACTATACGCTTCTTTTAGCGATTACGTTTCTATTGCACGAGAGTTTGATTTAGAGAATAAATATCACAAAAAAGAAATCATTGAAATAATTTTAGTACTTTTCTCAACACCTGCAGTATTTATCCATGCTTTGAAGGAAAACAATACACACAGTGAAATATCCAAAAATTTTATGACAGAGATGTTTTGGGTTGAAGCATATAAACATATATTAAATTATCTTGGTTTAGCAGTGAATAAAATAGAGAAAATTCCTATATGTCAAATATTAAACGAGTTATATATTCCCCACCTACAAATAATAGATCCTAGATTTGAATTAACTTTCCGTCTAAGCAAGTTTGGCTACAAAAGTTTGTACAAGATGAATTCCTATATGCTTAGAAAAATTCCAAACGATTTTAGATATAAAAATCTCAAATTACTATTAACATCCATGTTAGATAATTTACAAAGAAATATGCAACTGTCAACAACATTTAATGGTTTGATACCGAATAAAGAGATGAGTGAAGAAAATAATAAGGAAGTCATTCAATTCTATTATCCCGGAGGTAAAAACTTCTTTGGACCCACTTGTATTTTTTTATCGGGAAAAATTTTAGAAATAAGAACAATCGAAAGTAGACAAATCCGAGTTCCCGTGTTGCCAGTAATTTTTAGGGGAAACAAAATTTATTATATGGAATATAATCTTGAATTTGGTGAATTTTCTGATGTATATCTGGAAATGGTTAGAAATGATTTTCTTCGCCAAATTATTATACCTTCTTCTGATGAACACAGACAATTTACTGGAAGAGGTGGTTTACCTAGTGACGATATTCCAGGATCCTCGGGAAGATCTGGACAAGTTATTGAAACAGAAGATATTTCAAGTGATAATGATTTTAATGCTCCTGGATCTTCAGGAGAATCTAAACATGTTATTGTAAGAGAAGATTTCACAAATGATAATGATGACAATTTGTATTATATCAAGAGGTTTGAAGAAGAACATTTCAATGAAATTATGGGATAAATTTTTTTAAATTGTAGTTCTCATAAATAATTATGATGATGATGATAATATGGATCAAGTACAACTCAGTTATATAAATTTAATCAAAAAAGTTGAAGAAGAACAATACAATAGACATTTCTTATAAATGTTATTAAAATTGTAGGTCTCACATGCAGAGAAATAATGAGAGTATTTTGAATCATATTAATAAAGATAACTTTTAATTGCATAAAAAATTTTTTGCAATCGTTTTTCCCCATACTTTAACAAAATATATTGAAGCACCTATATAGATATTTTTACATTCTCATCATAATGAGAAAGTATTACATTTTCCCGATTTTGACCAACTTCTAAATCATGTAAATCTTCACGTTTCAAGCCTTTTTGATGCCAAAAAAATAGGTTTTAAAAAAATGTCTGTCTGCACCGAAAAAACGATATTCTAATTTTAAGAATTTTCAACTTATTTTAAGAATATGCGAAACTTAAATAGGCGCCACGAATATATTCTTAAATTAAGAATAGAATCTTCTTATATTAAGAATATTTTCTTAGAATCACTTTTTTAGAATATAATCTTAAAATAAGTATATTTTCTTCTTGTATCAAGAAATATACTTTTAGCAGTTTTAAGAATACTATAAACTTAATTATCAAATCCATAGTAAGACCTCTCACTCTTTTCATGGTGTTTATATTATTACCTACACACAACACACAAATATAAATAATAATATAAAAGATTGAAAAATAGAACAAAAAAAAAAAAGAAAAACAAAAAAATGCAAAAAACAACAACAACGTTAGAACACTCGTCTTATTTATCGATGCTACACTGAAAAAGCAATCGATAACAGCTATATAGCTATATACACGTTGTTGGATCGTGGCGACGACTGCACACACGCTTGACAGTTTTCGCGGAAAATAGAGGTAATGTTGACCACTTTTAGTAATCAACATTTGAATACCCGGATCAAATAACTCGACCGACGCTCGGACGCACGCTCTAATGGTAGTCGGGTAGCAGTGAGCCGCCCACAGGCTGTCAATGCTAATTGACTGGTAATAGAGCGTTCGTCCGAGCGTCGGTCGAGTTATTTGATCGGGGTATTCATTTAATTAAAAAAAAACTATAATTATATTAATAAAATAATTGCACGACGACTCGTTAGTCAATGGCGACGCGAGCAAGCTAGCAGCACGTCAATTCTAGCGTATATTCTTGTTTTAAGATGAAGAAGATTTAGTACATAGAAAATATTCTTAAAGTTAGAATCTGCTTAAGAATATTATTAAGAATATTTATGTAAGAATATAACATTCTTAAAACTAGAATATTTTAAGAATATTTTTAAGAATATTTTTTTAAGAAAATAATAATCTTAAAACTAGAATACCGTTTTTTC